TTGTGTTGTCTAAGAATGATATGTATGTAGGGAAATAATACATGTAGTGGTCGGCTCAGCCCTTAACCTCATGCGCTCAGCTCGCGCTCATGGCGACCTGAGCTCGTGGCTAAGCTCGTTGAATTTGGGCGAGCTCGTGGCTCGTCCGAGCTCATGGGCTGAGTCGAGCTTTGGCTCGTGGGCTTGTCCCTTTTTTTATATTAAGAGTTTTACAAATAAATGAAGTAATGTAATGAAAACACTTTTAAAAAAAATAAAAAGTGTTAAAGAATACAAATAATTCAATGAAGACAATTTTTTATTTTTTTATTTATATCATATTGTAATATTTTTTATAAAGTATAAAATATTTATATAATGAAGACGAATTATTTTTTGAAATACATTTAATAAAGTAGATGAAATATAAACACTCCTCCTTTATCCGGGCTTGAGACCGGCTATATCAATTTTAAGTAGGAGGAGTTAAAAATTGTACACGAATAACTTGTTGTAATGTGTACAATTTTTTAAAGAAAATTAAATTTAATGATTAAAAAATAAAAAAAATTTGATTATTATAATTAAATCAAATATCACTTACCCGACGACATGCAATTTCAGTGTATTTATCTTGTAGTCGAAAATGAGCGTCCTGTCAATCCTTCACGCACATTAACGCTTCCAAAATATCTTCTTTCAGTCGGCTCCTGACATTGGTCAAAACCCTTTTACCTTCACTAAAAGCAGACTCCGAAGTAACAGTGCTAACCGGAGGTATCAACATATCTGTTGTGCATGTGACTCATATTGAGTGGAACACAAGTCCTGTATCAAATGGGCCGATGCCGGTGTGGAGCGGAGCGGAGTGGAGTGAGAGGAGTGGAGCGACGGCATTGGCCTTGCGTGGGTTTAATTTACTGTCTGGTTGTTAGGGTACGGTACATGGATATTTCCTGTACGGGCCTTAAAGTCTTATATGGGCTCAAGCTAGAGTTGGTATAAATAATATGTTGTAACCCTATTTTTCACTACTGAATAAAGAAATCTCCACTTCAATCTTGTGGACGTAGGCACACCACCAAACCACGTAAATTCTTGTGTTGATTTTCTTTTTCATCTCTTTAATATTGCGCATAAAATCCAAAAACTGGTATCAGAGCAAGGTTCAGATGGCGAGTTCTTCGATTGCAAAATTCGATGTGATGAAGTTTGACGGATTTGGGAACTTTGGATTATGACAGCGAAGGGTGAAGGATTTATTAGCGTAGCAAGAGATAGTGAAGGCGCTATCTGAGAAGAAACCAGAGGATACGTCAGATGCCGATTGGGAAGAACTCGAAGCACGAGCAGTTGGTACAATTCGGCTTTATTTAGCCGACGAAATCATATATCACATCATGGACATTGAGTCCCCGGTGGAGGTTTGGGAGAAATTGGAGAATCATTATATGTCAAAATCTCTCACGAACAAGTTCCATCTGAAGCAACGGCTGTACGGGCAGAAGATGTTGGAGGGTACGGATCTAATTCAACACACCAATGTGTTCAATCAAATCATCAGTGATCTACTACGACTTGAAATCAAGTTTGTTGATGAAGACAAGGCAATGATTTTGTTGTGTTCACTTCCTCCTTCGTACGACCATCTGGTGACCACGTTAACGTGGGGTAAAGAGACTCTCGAATTGGAGGAAGTCACATCAGCCCTGTTAGCCTATAACCAGCGGAAACTGTGTACTGGTGAAACTTCACAGGGTAAAGGGTTGATCGTAAAGGACTACCAGGATCGTGAGAGAAGGAAGGATAGGGGTGGTTTTTTCAGAGAGAACATAAGATCAAAATTTAGGAATCAAAATAAGAAAAACATCAAGTGCTACAAATGCCATCAGATGGGTCACTTTAAGAGAGATTGTCCCAATAAGAAGCAGGGGATGAAATGAAAGGTGATGGGTCCTCAAACTCAACTAGTGTTGCAGAATGAGACACGAATTCTGGAGATGGAGATATATTATCAGTCTCTGTAGGCAATTCTGTAAAATTAAATGACTGTTGGGTACTTGATTAAGCATGTTCATATCACGTGTCCTCATCGGATTGGTTTCATTCATATCGTTCTGGTAATTTTGGATCTGTTCTGATGGGTAATGATGCATCATGTAAGGTCATTGGAATGGGGTCCATAAAATTTAAAATGTTCGATGGTGTGATAAGGACCTTGAAAAATGTTAGGCATGTACCTGAGTTGAAAAAGAATCTAATTTCTTCAGGCACTTTAGATACAAATGGTTACTCTTATAAGTCAGAGTGTGGGGCTCTAACAGTGAAGAAAGGGGTTATGATTGTGATGAAGGGTCAGAAATTAGTAGGAAATATCTACAAGCTACTTGAAGATACAATTGTAGGTGGAGTTTTTACAGCAGAATTTGAGTCAGATGACACTCTTCTATGGCATATGCGACTGGGGCATATAGGAGAGCGTGTTATGGTTGAGATTCACAAGAGGAATTTGTTTAAGGGGATAAAATCATGCAAACTGGATTTCTGCAAGTTCTGTATACTTGAAAAATAGTCCAGAGTACAGTTCAAGATGGGAAAGCACAAGACAGAGGGCATTCTTGATTACGTACACTCAAATGTTTGGGGACCAGTGAGGGAATTGTCCAAAGGTGAATCTCAGTAATTTATTACTTTCATTGATGACTTCTCGAGAAAAGTTTGGGTATATTTCATGAAGCACAAGGTTGAAGCCTTTGCCAAGTTCAAATTATGAAAAGCAGACGTAGAGAATTAGATGGGCAGAAAAATTAAGTATCTGAGGACAAATAACGGTGCAGAGTATACAGATTCACAGTTTCTGAAATTTTGTGAGGAGCATGGTATTCAGCGGCACTATACAGTTTACAAGACACCACAACATAATGGTGTAGCAGAAAGGATGAACAGAACAATTACAGAACAGGCAAGATGTTTGAGGCTGAATGCAGGGCTCTCGAAGAGTTTTTGGGCAGAGTGGCATGTTATATCATAAACAGATCGTCACGAGCAGCACTAGATGGGAAAGTTGCAGAGGAATTTTGGACAGGTAATGAAGTTGATTATTCTGAATTGAGAGTATTTGGT